CATGACACTAAAATAACACTCACATGACTGTAACATGACACTAAAATAACACTCACATGACACTAACATGACACTAAAATAACACTCACATGACTGTAACATGACACTAAAATAACACTCACATGACACTAACATGACACTAAAATAACACTCACATGACTGTAACATGACACTAAAATAACACTCACATGACACTAACATGACACTAAAATAACACAAACATGACTGTAACATGACACTAAAATAACACTCACATGACACTAACATGACACTAAAATAACACTCACATGACTGTAACATGACACTAAAATAACACTCACATGACACTAAAATAACACAAACATGACTGTAACATGACACTAAATTAACACTCACATGACAGTAAAATGACACTTAAATAACACTAACATGACACTAAAATGACACTTAAATAACACTAACATGACACTAAATTGAAATTAAATGACACTACAATGACACAACGGACGTGGAGCCACGTGGGCATTCAGTTAATATGGATAAATGGCCTATAAATAGTTTAAGAGAGGCCTATGAATAGCTTAATAATGTCTACACTCAGACAGCGACACGTTCACACTACAATGACACTACGGAAATGAAACCACTGGTACATTCAGTTAATATGGATATATGGCCTATAAATGGTTTATGTGTGGCCTATGAATTGCCTACTAATACCTACACTCAGACAGTCGCACGTTCACCACCAACAGGTGCACCCGGGATATTGGGAAATATCGACATTCAGACAAAGAAACCTCTGCACATACGGTAGTGAGAAAGTATGTCCGAATATATCGACATTCACAGACACAAAAAACCCTCTGCACATACGATAGTGGGTGAGTATGTCGACGTGGGCTAGCAACAGATTGACTGTGTTCATGATCACTTGACAGTGTTCATTCTCCAGTAGTCGTTCAATGGCTGTGCAGGTGTATGAATGAGCGTACGGGAATACAGTTGAGTAGTGGGCTAGCAACAGGTTGACTGTGTTCATGATCACTTGACAGTGTTCATTCTCCAGTAGTCGTTCAATGGCTGTACAGGTGTATGAATGAGCGTACGAGAATAGAGTTGAGCATGTGCAGATGTACGAATGAGCGTACGGGAATAGAGGTGAGCATGTGCAGGTGTATGAATGAGCGTACGGGAATTGAGTTGAGTAGTGAAGTATGGCGTGTAGAAATGTTAGCCATTTAAATGAGATTGATACCTGAATTTGGAGTGTGGAGTATAGAAAGGATGAGTACGTAAAAAAAGGTTGATCCCTGTTTAGTAAATATGGTATGTGGTTATGTTTGAGTGCTAAATATGGTGTATGTGGTTATGTTGAGTTTTAAATATGGTATGTGGTTATGTTTGAGTGTAAAATATGGTATGTGGTTATGTTTGAGTGTTAAATATGGTATGTGGTTATGTTTGAGTATTAAATATGGTATGTGGTTATGTTTGAGTATTGACAAGTGGAGTACATAAACGTTAATGCTGTAAATAGGGTTGAACCCCGTTTTTCACCAATGGTATTTGGTTATTAGTACGTGTGTATAGAGTACATAAACGTTACCACTGTAAATAGGATTGATCCCCGTTTTACCCAATGGTATTCGCTTAATAGTACGACACGAACTAATACTGTGAACAGGTCTCGGACTGCCACGAACAACAGTCGCTCTCACTTTCACAAGTGTCGTGTTGAGTGTACAGAACTTAATACTGTGAAAAGACGTAGACTAATTAGAACCGTAACCCTGTGCGCAACAACAAAAAACGTACCGATATACTGCTTAAGTTGTTAACGTGTAGGCCGTCCATGAATTCACTTCACCGCTCTACTCGCACACGAGATACCAATCATATAACAGCCGTACTCGCATATATATCGCAATATATATATATATATATATATATATATA